AGATGAAAAATTGGATAGAAAGAAAAAATATATATACCAAATTTATCATTATACCCTCACATCTAATTACATGAATAAGATTAAAGAAAATAAACAAAAATGCAAGAATTTTTTTTATAAGTATATAATATTTAGACTTTTTTTAAGTTTAAAATATTATATTTAGACAAAAAATACTTCAATCAAAGGTGAAATATTAAATATTTCAAATTTTTCAACCAAAATTTATGTTTTATTGTATCATTTATTAAAATAAATCAAAAATAAAATTTACTTACAAAGAAATTCTTCATTTAATTATTTAATGTGTATCTAACTAGAAATTATATGTATTTTTTCATTATGTACATTTAATTATTAAATCTTCCATTACATATACAAAAGTAAACTTAATAAGTTAAGTTCTAATTATTTTATGTGGTAAATACTAAATACTAAAAATTATATAATTAAAAAAATTAGACCTAAACGGTTTGAATTATGGGACTATTAGAAACCAAAAGAAAAAAGGAAAAAAAAAGGGGAGGCAAATAAATTTTTTGTTCTGATTCATCAAAAAGGCCAAAGCCACACATGTTCTGAGCAAAAAAGAAAAAAGACCGGTGAACACTAAAGCATTGAGTGGTGGATAAAATAGTCGATTAACAAAAAAGTATATCTTCCCTCCATTTTTCGCCCATTTTTGGGGGGAAAATTTTTGGTGGGCTCAAGGGAAAGTATTTCCCTTCTATTTTCCATTCCCTTCCATTTTTCCTCCATATCAAACAATGAAAAGATTTTCCTTTCCTCTTACTTTCCTTCCTTCATTTTTCATCCTCTCTATTTTCACTTCAACCAAACAGGGGGTCAGGGAAAAGCTCCCTTTATGCCCGCAAAATATTTAAGCTTTTTTATTTTATACCTTTGAAGATAAATTTTTTTATATTGCACTTTCGGTATATTAAAAATATTATAATATATATTAAAATAAATAAATTATAGTCTTATCTTCAATTGTTTATTCCGTCAAAATTTAACGAAGACTATAGAAATGTTATATTATAATATTTTTAATATATTAATAATATAATATAAAAAATCTAATTTTTGAAAATAATAAAATAAAAATTCTAAAATTGTTATTTTTTCAGTCATCCATACATGCCAATCCTCAAAAGTGAAAAAAAAATAAAAAAAAAATTAGCGAAGAACCCGTGATTCATATGAATATTCGAAGCTATAAAAATTGGTCACAAGTTTCGATCTTTAGTGTTATAAAATAGTTATCCTGAAATCCAAAGTCAAATGCTTACAGTAATTGGTCAGAAATTATATAATCATTTTTAATTAATGGACCCTAATTATGGTTATGATACCAAGAAATCAAAATTATAGCTAAAACCTTCTTAGAAAAATTTAAAGGGCTAATATCAACTTGTACTCCGAAAGAAGACTCTAATCTTAATTCGCACACTCAAAGTATAAGAATATCAATTTATACCCTAAAAGTTATAAATTTGTATCACTCAACTCCGTTCATTTTGATGTTAAAAAAGTTTTGATTAATTATAAATTGTACCCCTAAAAATTTAAATATTTTATATTTATAATCCAAAAAGAATTTTATCAATTAATACTCGTTAAATAGCTCTCAATTTTATCATATCATAACGTCTTCGTGTTTTTTTTGAGTCAATAAAAAAATATTTTTAAAAATTAAAAAAAAAATTAAAATACATATTGTTTGCCTACAATACTCGTTAAATAGTTATCTTATGTTTACAATTAAACACAAATCTTTTAATTGTTCGATCAAATTAAAGTTATATACGAATAACACAATTGCAAATAAAAAAAAGTTATTTAACGAGTATTATAAGCAAAAAATAAGTATTTTTTAAAATTTAAAAAATATTAAATAGTATTATAAAAATTGTCGTAAATGTAAAATATATGACACAACGTAAATGACTCGACACAAAAAAATTTTGTGCTAAAAATATTTTTTTCGTAACTCAAACATGACACGAAAATGTTATGACACCATACAATTAAGAGAAATTTAACGAGCATTAATGGATGTAATTCTTTTTGGATCATAAATATAAAATATTTAAAATTTGAGGAGTATAATTTATAATTAATCCAAACTTTTTTAACAGCAAAATAAACGACGTTTAGTCCTAAGTGCACATTGATACGTATTTATATATTTTAGAGTAATATTTTTAAATTTTGAGGATATAAATTAAAATTTGAATGATCTTTCAAAATACAAGTTGAGATTAACCCAATTTTAAAAGTATTATTCCCTTAACATTTCATATGAATTTTTAGATTCTTTTTTTTTTGTTGACATGTATGATTATGCCCACCCTTTTTCTTGTATGCCTAAACCGAATAATTGTCGACTTTCAATCACACTTCATATTGACTTTCAGATATATTTCGAGCATGTCTAGAAGTTTTAGATAAATTCGGGTCATTTTATATATTTATATTTAAAAAAATATAGTGATTTTAACATTAATTTTACCCGTAGATACATTTTATTTTATGAAGATTGTGAATCTCCTGCTAAATAATCGAATGGATGATAAATAAATTATTATAGTATAACCCTTTAATACGTATATCAATTTTTTTTATAGCATTGGTAATGAAATTATTATAAAATACTTTCATAGTATGCAAATCCATCCGGGTCAAATGAGAAATGACTATAATTAATCTTTTTTTTTTTTTGTCCTTTTTACACTAATTTTTTTTCTTTTTTTGTTTAATAAATGGTGAAGTATTTCAATTTTTTTTTAGAAAATAAATTGACTCACTTTGCTTTTATCCATTGGGAGTAAAAAAATAATTTTATTGAAGTGTCCACTCAAAAAAAAAAAATCCTGCCTCCACCTTGGATTACAACATAGCCTCAAATTCCTAAGTTGATAAAAATTCTCATTTTTTTGGCAGGTGATAAATTTTACCATTTTTTTTTAATTCCAGGAAAGAAATTGGTGTATGGCTGAGATGGAGCCATCATATTGGGTCATATTTTATGCTGGCATGGCAAAAAACCATTGGCTGGTGGACTCAAATGCCTAATTTACTATTTTACCCTCCCATAAAGTAAATGCCTTTTTTTTTTGGGTCTACGTAGCGCCTTAAATGACAAAAAAATATTGAATGTAACTATTATAATATGTCAACAATGTTATGTGGTGTAGTCATCCACTAATAAGTAAATAAGTTTATAAGTGAGCCCTACAAAAATTCGTAACCACCAAATCATGTAATACATAACCATCTCTATAATAAAAAATGTACACTTATTTTATAAATTTTTTATTGAATGTTTACATTTATAATGACAAGTTTCGGGTATAATATATCACAAAGGATAATGTTAAAATAACAATTGTTGAATAATTTGACTTAATTTAATAAAGTGGTGCTGATTATCTCCGGCATGCTTCTCACATGCACTGTTATCTGATTCTTGACAGATTTGATGATAACGAGGCTTGGATTGACATGTTTCTCGATCTTTGATTTGGTGGTGAGTTTGACGAATTTGATGAAGATAAAAGCTTGATTAGTGCGTTCCTCAATCTTCATTTAGTAATGCTTTGGTAGATTTTTGTTGAAAACAAAAGTTGAATTGATATGGTTCTCGTTTTTCGATCTTTAATTTGGTGAATTTGTTGAAGATGAGTGTGATATTGGCATGAATCTCATTCTTTAATATTTGATTTGACTTTGTTAAATCTTTTCACCATTTTTTTTTTATTTTAAATGACTTGAAGATAATTTGTATCTTTTGAAGATGGACTTTGATGGTGTTTCTTCTCTTTAGAGATGAATTTACAATACCTCGGTTGGGGGTAAAGTCCGACAGAATTTTTGCTAGTGATCTCCCCTTCTTCTCTTGAGATAGACTTAGGCAGTTTTTTTTTTAATTTTGTATATTCCTCTTTACCTTCTCTTTGGCCTCTTCTTGGCTTCTCGTATACATTTATTTATAGTGTTGCGAGTAGTTATCCATACAATAATATTTTACCTGAATACTCTCATATTCATACTCTCGTATTCATACATGAGTATTTTACCTGAATATGCTTGTATGGGCATTAGACAATGAACTACCCATTTTTATATAAAATTTATAAGCTTTAATTGATTTATAGAATTTAAGTCCAACTCAATTTATCTTTAAAAGTCTATTTAATTTGGACTTATGAAATTTAAACCTTCTTAATTATATGCTTCTTTAATTAATATATGAGCTTTTTATTATTTGGGCTTATGAAATTTAAGTTAAAGTCTAGTTTAATTTTAGAAGCTTGTTTAATTAATTTGGGCTTTATGACATTCAGGCGCAATTGAGTTGAGCTTAGAAGCTTAATAAATTTGGATTTACACTTATGGACCTTAGGTTCAATCTAGATTAATTTTATACAATTATTTAATTGATTTGGACTCAAGTGTAAACGTTATTATTTTTTTAAGGTCTACACCACCATATCAGTATTGTTGATATAGTGTAACCGTTATACTCAATATTTTCCTCCCAAGTGACCAAAATAGCTTGTAATTATCGAAAACTTTGATATGCATAGGATTTTTGTGAGGGGGTAAATAACATTTTGGTAATTATTTAGAGGCATAGGATTTTTGTGAGAGGGTAAATAACACTTTATTCTCTAAAATATTTTAAATTTCATAACTTACATAATCAATGATTAATTTTGTTCATATGGTATCCTCAACGCCATTAAATAGTTGATATGTGATCCTCACACTAACTTTCGCCATTGTTTCTGTCAAATTTAGTTGTATTTTGTGTGGGAGGCACATAGCAAATTTGACAAAATTTGCAACAAAAGTTTGTGGAAGGGTCATATTGCAATTATTGTATAATATAAAAAAGTTAATTATTTATAGTATAAATTAAAAATTTTCAAATATTGTAGGGTGCAAAGTGTGATTAGTAATTATTCATCTTGAGTGAAATCTGGGCTGAGATAGTGGACGAAATGTTCTCCAGAAACTTCCTTAAACCCCATCCAGACGCTTACTAAAACCCTAGAGTGCTTCACTTCCTTTTCTCTCTGCGTCTAAACCCGTCTCAGAACAGCAATCTTCAATACAGTTTTGTATTCACAATCATCTCTGCGTTGTACGGTGCTGCTTCCAAACATGCACAGGATCTCGAGGCGTTCCGTCTCCGCTATTCTGCGAAACGGTGGAGCGCGGTACCGAAATGCCGCTGCCCCAATTTCCTCAGCCAATCCCTTCAACGAATCGGTATATACTGTCAACAAAACCTCATTTTCACTCACACCAGTCTTGATTTCTGCTTTGATTGTTCAAAATTCAGTTCAATATAATATTTTTTTTTATCGATCACTTGTTGGGTTATCTTGTGCTTTATTGAGAGTCTTGTGAAGCGAATGACTTAAATTGCCTTTTTTTTTTCTTTCCGTTTTGTTTATGATGGCAAGTTTAGGATCGGTGGTGGTTCCTATTTTGCAGTGGCTTTTCTGTATATACAGGTTTTCTGCATAGACCTGTTTGCTTATGCAGTTTGTTAAACTATATGGGTTTTTTTTGGGATTCCTTGGTAGTTTAGTGGCCTCATATGTAACGTAGTGATTTGAGGTAGAAATTTATCAGTTCGAATGGAGCTAATTCGGGTAATTGGCAGCCAATTTTTTTTTTCTTTTTGGTGAATCGTATGATCAGAAGAAACCCAAGTATGATAGAATATTTCTATGTGTCTCCAAATGATGGTGGGGAGAGGGTAATGGAGAGATATAAGTTCAAGGGGAACTGGGGAAGTCAAAACACATCCCTAATGCCCATGTTTATTTTATCTCACAGTGTTCGGATATCATGCAAGTTTAATAATGTGATTGGTATGAGAACTTTGTTGCTTTTTTGATGGAATTATGTTGCTTTAACATGACTGTTCTCAAGGAGTCATTTCTTGTCGGTATCGTATTATACTGTCCTCTCAGGACATTTTTGAGCATTTATTGCTAATTTTTAGTAGTCCTGTGTTTTACATGTTTTAGTCATATATGAATTTGGTCTAAATTGTTAACGCTGTAAGGTTTTTTACCTGCTACTGACCTCTTCTGTGAGGTTGCATATGAACTGGTTCAAATAGTTGATTGAAGGCTTTTACCTGCTAATTACTTGTCCTGCCAGGTTCCAAATTTCATTGCTGGTGGTCTCTCTTATATGATTAAATTGCCAAAGTAGAATGCGAAGTGTCTATCATTTGGATTGATACTATGCTATGATATAATTGCTGAAGGTTTTTATACTTTTTTCGGGCTGATGTGTCAATTAAGAGGAATGCTTGTTTTCATTATGCATTATATTACTTAAGTTTTAATATGTCACTGACTATGATTAGGCTGGAGAGGGTGATACCAAAGTGAGATGGTACTCGGTATTGACAAATGGGAAATGCAACACCAATGGATCCATCAAGCCTTTTAGCATGAGAAATGGACTATCTGTGTGCAATAGATTTGAGTCTACTGCTGCAGCATCTGACGCATGCAATCCACCGGCTGAGAAATATGAGTATCAAGCAGAGGTGCACAACCTGAGCAATAAGGGTTATTAAGTTAGCGTTATCCATTGTTTAAGGGGAAAAAATCTGGTTGAGTCTCCATTATAATCTGTGATGAATTTGTAAATTATCTTATTTTCACTTGGTGGCAGGTTAGCCGTCTGATGGACCTCATCGTCAACAGCTTATACAGCAACAAAGAGGTGTTTCTTAGGGAGCTTATCAGGCATGTATTCATCTGCCATTCAATTTCATGTCGATGGTGTTTAAATGATAGATGTATGAAGGATGCCTCCTTTGATATGCCGTTTGGAAGTTTTGTTGGACAGATCATTGTAGGTCTCTTTCATGCTTAGTATTGTGATAATTGACAGTACATCGACACTAGAGAATATAAGTACTTGGTGAAACATACAGAAAATCTGCGCATTGATTTTGGACTTGAAGGGATGGTGTTTTGTATTCATGAGGTTTTGCATCAACTTTTTTTGCTAATGAATGGGTTTCTATCCGTTTTGATTGTAGTATGTGTTCTATAAATTGTGCGGTTGTAGTTGTAATGAGAATCTGAGACTGAGTTGTACTAAACAGGAACCAGGAAATAGAATGTATCAAACATTTACATCAATCAAATGATGCTAATCCTTCTAGGCATTTTTTTTTAATCCACAGCAATGCAAGTGATGCCTTGGACAAGCTGCGATTTCTTAGTGTTACAGAGGCTGATCTTTTGAAGGATGCAGTTGATCTTGATATCCGTATACACACTGATCAAGATAATGGAATGATTACAATCACGTAAGCTATTAGCTATGCAAATTGTCTTGGTTAATGTTGTGCCTGTTGCTATTGTGACATTGTATGCTCTGTGCAGGGATACTGGCATTGGTATGACTCGCCAAGAGCTAGTTGACTGTCTTGGAACAATTGCGCAAAGTGGAACTGCAAAGTTCTTAACGGCTTTGAAGGTTTCCCCTTCTTATGTGACATTTCATTGTTCTGTTAAGTTGACTTGATCAAAAATCTCGTCATCTACTTAAAAGATTGATCTTTTAACAGGAGAGCAAAGATGCTGGTACTGACAGCAATTTAATTGGTCAATTCGGTGTGGGGTTTTATTCATCTTTCCTAGTCTCTGACCGGGTATGTGATGTTGCTAAGCTTTAGACTTAGTTCATCTTCTGGACACTTGCATTTAATTTAAAATTCTTGTCTGTCTCCCGTTATTCATAGGTGGTTGTCTCAACAAAGAGCCCAAAATCTGATAAACAGTATGTGTGGGAAGGAGAGTCCAATTCTAGCTCCTATACAATCAGAGAGGAGACTGACCCTGAGAACCTCATTCCTAGAGGGACACGCCTCACATTATATCTTAAGGTCTGCTGCATAGTTTTGTTTTAAAGAATTGCTTGTTACTGTCTTTGCGAAGAATTCAAGCTAATTCTAAAGTTTGCCTTTTTCTGTCTGTGATTACACAGCGTGACGATAAAGGTTTTGCACATCCAGAAAGAATTCAGAGGCTTGTGAAAAATTACTCACAATTTGTGTCATTCCCCATCTACACGTGGCAAGAAAAGGGATATACTAAAGAGGTATAATTACATGTCTAATGTCTTTCCCTTTTCTCGAGCTTTTTTCGATTGTCTAGTCAACAAAAGCCACCTATGCTTTTGTTCAAATTACACTTGTTTAATCTTTTTGCTTGTCACGCTTCCTTATGCTGCTTTCATTTGAAAGATTTACTGCTTACGTATTAGCCGGGCATTTTCCTTGCCTTATACTCTCCTCACGCACTGTTTTACAACAGGTTGAGGTTGATGAGGATCCAGCTGAGGCTAAGAAGGATGAACAAGATGAGAAAGCTGAGGTTGTTGTCCATGGTTTCACTGGAGTCTACACTCTTTGGCAAATTTTTATTGTTTTTCATTCAGTGAACTCACCTTACGGTTTTTATATGTTTATGTTACAATAGAAGAAGAAGAAAACTAAGACTGTGGTTGAGAAATACTGGGACTGGGAGCTCACTAACGAGACGAAGCCAATATGGGTGTGCCTTTGAAATTCCATTTCTTGCTGCTAACCTGTCTTGTAAGCTGCTGTTGTCCTCTACAATGATTTAAGTCCTAATTGGATTGTGCTATGCAGCTTCGGAACCCTAAGGAAGTTACTACTGAGGAATATAATGAGTTTTACAAGAAGACATTTAATGAATACTTGGAGCCTTTAGCATCTTCACATTTCACAACAGAGGTAATAATGGTTACCATAGTACTACATTAATATTATGTGCCAATTCTCATTTTGAAATTGAAAAACAATGATGAAGCTGAAAAACAATATAGCTTCTTTTCCTCCGTTTCTTCTCTGTGCTGAATATGGTAGTGAAGATGTAATTCTCTATTGTGTCAAAACATTCTTTTGGTGCCTGGAAGGCTCACATAGCTAACCTTCTCTTTTTCTCCTTTTCTTTCTGGTTTGGTAGGGTGAAGTGGAGTTCAGGTCTATACTCTATGTGCCGTCCATTGCTCCGACAAATAAGGATGACATAGCCAATCCCAAGACAAAGAACATAAGGCTTTATGTGAAACGGGTGTTTATTTCAGATGACTTTGATGGAGAACTGGTAAGAAAAGTGGTAAAGTTTTTCCAGAAAAAAGTGGATGGGTTACTGATGTGAGCTACTTGATAACCATTGTGATTCTTCTGGGTGGAACAGTTCCCGAGATATTTAAGCTTCGTCAAAGGTGTTGTGGACTCAAATGACCTTCCCCTGAATGTCTCACGTGAAATTCTCCAGGAAAGTCGTATAGTAAGTGCATCTGACATGTCTTTTGTGGTTCCAGAGGTACTATTCTGTTTTATATACTCAATCTTTTTGTTGCTGACTTTTTTTTGTGGTACTTTAAGGTACGGATTATGAGGAAGCGTTTGGTGCGAAAGGCCTTTGACATGATTTTGGGGATATCCATGAGCGAGAACAGAGATGTATGCCTTTTCTGTTCATAACATATGAAATGTATTACTAANCTTTGAAATTCCATTTCTTGCTGCTAACCTGTCTTGTAAGCTGCTGTTGTCCTCTACAATGATTTAAGTCCTAATTGGATTGTGCTATGCAGCTTCGGAACCCTAAGGAAGTTACTACTGAGGAATATAATGAGTTTTACAAGAAGACATTTAATGAATACTTGGAGCCTTTAGCATCTTCACATTTCACAACAGAGGTAATAATGGTTACCATAGTACTACATTAATATTATGTGCCAATTCTCATTTTGAAATTGAAAAACAATGATGAAGCTGAAAAACAATATAGCTTCTTTTCCTCCGTTTCTTCTCTGTGCTGAATATGGTAGTGAAGATGTAATTCTCTATTGTGTCAAAACATTCTTTTGGTGCCTGGAAGGCTCACATAGCTAACCTTCTCTTTTTCTCCTTTTCTTTCTGGTTTGGTAGGGTGAAGTGGAGTTCAGGTCTATACTCTATGTGCCGTCCATTGCTCCGACAAATAAGGATGACATAGCCAATCCCAAGACAAAGAACATAAGGCTTTATGTGAAACGGGTGTTTATTTCAGATGACTTTGATGGAGAACTGGTAAGAAAAGTGGTAAAGTTTTTCCAGAAAAAAGTGGATGGGTTACTGATGTGAGCTACTTGATAACCATTGTGATTCTTCTGGGTGGAACAGTTCCCGAGATATTTAAGCTTCGTCAAAGGTGTTGTGGACTCAAATGACCTTCCCCTGAATGTCTCACGTGAAATTCTCCAGGAAAGTCGTATAGTAAGTGCATCTGACATGTCTTTTGTGGTTCCAGAGGTACTATTCTGTTTTATATACTCAATCTTTTTGTTGCTGACTTTTTTTTGTGGTACTTTAAGGTACGGATTATGAGGAAGCGTTTGGTGCGAAAGGCCTTTGACATGATTTTGGGGATATCCATGAGCGAGAACAGAGATGTATGCCTTTTCTGTTCATAACATATGAAATGTATTACTAAATTTTCCACACTGTTCTCACTTTTCCCAAAAAACTGGAAAATAATTATTGTGGCATTTTTTCCTTCCCCCTATTCCTTTGGGTTATATTTGCTGTCCAGTATAGCGCTAACTAGTCCCCCATTCATGGTAGAGTCGTCTCAAGTATTTCTAGTTTCTGCTTTTCTATAATTAAACTCTTGACTTTGCTGTATGTTGTAGGATTATGAGAAGTTCTGGGAGAATTTTGGCAAGTATATAAAATTGGGATGCATTGAAGATCGTGAAAACCACAAGCGTCTTGCTCCATTGCTTCGATTTTTTTCTTCACAGAGTGAGGAAGAGATGATCAGCTTGGATGAATATGTTGAAAATATGAAACCTGATCAGAAGGATATCTATTACATTGCTGCTGACAGTGTGACAAGTGCAAGGAACACTCCCTTTCTGGAGAAACTACTAGAAAAGGATCTTGAAGTATGTGGTTATGTTAAGATAATATGGAACTGATTAGCGATGTTTTTTCTTGTATTCCTTTGATGCCTCCTTGATATTGTTTGTTGTACTTGCTGCAGGTACTTTACTTGGTTGACCCCATTGATGAGGTTGCGATACAAAACCTCAAAGAATTCAAGGAAAAGAATTTTGTTGATATTAGCAAGGAAGATCTTGATGTAGGTTAGTTATCGACCCCTTCATAACTTGTGAAAGTTTTGGTTTCGGGGTAGGATCGTGATAATCTTTCAGTAATTTGCCACTCGTGGGTTGCTATTGGTATGCTTTTTATGAGATTTATGTTCCATAATTAATATGTGCCACGCCCGATCATGTCAGACAGATGAATCTTTGGGTGTTCAAGGGTAAAATGAGAGGGATTAGATAATGATCTCAGTTGTTGGTCTTTGGTTAACTGAGCTCATAGCAGATATGGGCTATGTTTTACCTTATTTGATGGGGACTTTATCCCCTTTGTTCAGATCCATTTTTTTTTTATTAAATCTCATTTGAACATGAATATCCTTTTATGTCAACATTGCAGGTGAAAAAAATGAGGAGAAGGAGAAGGAGATGAAGCAGGAATTTGGCCAAACTTGTGATTGGATAAAGAAACGGTTAGGTGACAAAGTTGCCAGTGTTCAAATCTCAAATCGGCTAAGCACATCACCTTGTGTTCTTGTATCTGGGAAGTTTGGTTGGTCTGCCAACATGGAGAGGTATAGTGCCTTGCTGTTGCATATTAAGGTGATTCAGTTACTTGAATTTTGCAACATTCTATCAAGTAGTTTGCATTTCTTGCAGGCTGATGAAGGCACAAACTGTTGGCGATACTTCTAGCCTTGAGTTCATGAGGAGCAGGAGGGTCTTTGAGATCAATCCTGAACACCCAATAATTAAAACCCTAAGTGTATGACTCTTTGGTGAATGAAGGGTGCACCACTTTGCTTTCTGATTTTTTACTAATAGAGTGACATCGTACTACATCTCAATATTTTGTAATGGTGAACAATACAGGCTGCATGCAAGAGTAGTCCAAATGATGAAGAAGCCTTGAGAGCTGTTGATCTGTTGTACGATACAGCTTTGGTGTCTAGTGGTTTCACTGTGAGTAACTGGTCCTTTATCTTTACATTTGTCTCCTGGAAATCTAGATTTCAAGATAAATATGACTCTACAGTACATAGCACCTTATGTCCTGACATGCTTTATCTGGTTCGCTACGAAGATGAGGCATCCAAAGGATCTATTTTTTCGCATAAATTGTTTAAAAATGAAGACAGCATAGCCTGAAATGCTGCAAATAGGCATGGCCTCTGACTTACCGAAAAAAAGAAAAGAAAAGCATGGCCTCTGTCTTCAATGATGTATGATAGAATGGCATGTCCGGAGATGAATGCTGATGTGCTTGGGAATGCAATAATTTTTCGCTATGATTTTTGACTTTAATCTTACGATGCTTGCAGCCTGAAAGTCCAGCACAGCTAGGAGGAAAGATATACGAGATGATGGGAATGGCTCTTTCAGGCAAGTGGGGAGCGACTGCTGCTGAGTTTCAAAAGCCTATAATCCCATCACAGATACCAGAAACAATGGAAGCCGAGGTAGTTGAGCCTGCTGAAGCTGGTAGTCAGAAATGAGAAGCAGTCGTTTCTTTTGTATACGTAATAAATTGAGTATTTTAAGTATGGAAATCATACTCGGTAGTGCTTCATGACATCTATTGGATTTAGAGGAGAGAAATCAATTTAGAATGGGTCATTGTCTTTCTGATTCACTTGCACCATGGAGTTGCACCATTCACTCTGCGTGGCTAGGGTTGTCCATGGTCGAGTGTACCGATTGCTTTAAGTTTGTATTTTAAAGCAAACAATTGTCCACTAGTGTTAAGCAGGAACTCGAAACAGTAGCAAGAAAATGAATGACGAAGTTGAGTTCAATGGTGTATGATCATCCATCCCCGTATGAGACACGATACGGGTAGGTTCATTTTCATCTGTCAAATGAGAGCAATCAATGTCTTGTGAAGATCGTCAACAGTATGTCCAGTATCGAAAAAAGAAAGAACAACATCGAGTTCAGTTTCTGTTAAACGGGGTTTGGAAAGGATGAAATGATATGACTCTTTAACATTCGACATAATTGGCTCAAAGTAGTTATATTCGTGTTCAAATCCTCGACTTGAAGGTTACGGGGCTCATTTTGTACTGCTCGAGACGGTTTTTAGTGTTTGAATGTACGAAGTTAGTGTTTTCTGGAGTGTTTTTTCAAGTTCGTAGTTGCTTCTTACTCTAACTGTACTGTTACAATCGTAGACCTATTCTCTTTCTTTTATGAAACAAACTTTTGTTTATAAGAGAAGTATTTTTAAGGGTTTTGTAGGAAGCTGCTTTACCAATCTGACATTCTAAATTGTGTAATGGTAATGGTCTGTTAGATCTGGAATTCTACTCATTTTCCATTATAAAGAAATTTTCACCCAGATTATGAACAGTAATATTACAAAATTCAAATGAAATCTAAAAAATTATAAATCAAATGCATATCATCTCTTAGATGAGTGAATTTCATTAATTTTTTTCAATGGAACCCACTTATGTCATACTTATTTAAGGGATGATATGCATTTGAGTTTTAATTTTAGAGTTTTATTTGGGTTATGGAGCATTTTTCCAATTATGAATTTGAACTATACTTGAAAGTTAGCCAAGTTCAATAATCAGGTTCAACCTGAGTTTTAAAACGTGAATATGAACAACACTCGGGTTGAATAAGGTCAAATTTTTTTTTTTTTTTTAACTGAGAGTGAATATTGGGTGATCACGAATTAAATGTATTATTACTTAGGTTGAGCGAGGGTTGATACTTGAATCCGTACAATACACTTGAGTTGTATACACTCCTACTAATTTGGTACAAGTTTTGATGCACATAGAATTACTCTTAATAATATATATTGATATAATCATCTATACTGATTTGATAAATTAAATTTTTGATGAACTTTTTGATAATTCACTACAAAATTGCATAAAATTTTTATAAAATTAGTTTTTTAAAAATAAAAAAATGAAAGATATTTTATACCCTAAAAAATCTTAAAATTTTTAATCTATACTATAAAAAATTAAAAGTTTCACATCTCATCCTCATTCATATAAAAAAATAGTAAGGTGGTATGCCTTAATGAAACTGATTATAAAATTCTCATATAAAATAACAAAATTGAGTAATATTCAAATAAAAAATACAACTAAAAAATTGTCAGAGAAAACAATAGAAGCTTGATTTTTGGACCACATTGTTATTTTATTTTTATTGGCATGCAACCAAAAAAATTTAATCTTTTAAGATATAAAGTGTTATTCACTAAAAAAAAAAAATTAAAACAAAAAAGAATTTTAAATGGGTTACAAATTAATGAAAAATTATTTTTCATATTTAATTAATCGGGAATATACACTGTTCCTTAAAGCCACCGCCCACAAATAAACTACAGGATACCCCAGTTCGCTTTTCAGCTCAAAATCTAGAGTTTTATTTTTTTTATTTTTGATACTTAAAAAATAGAGAAGGAACAAGGAAGAGAGTCTGCGATCGTTTCGATAGGCTCTCATCGATGAAATTTTAAGGCTTTTGACCGTGCCTAGAACATCTTTCACGATCAGATTTTTTGAGATCAAACCTATTTAAGATAACATAACGGCCGACCACTAAACCTAAATAAAAATTTTAAGACTTAAATTATCAAACTTTAAGATGAGGAGGATCGATATCCCAGTAGACCGCCCTGATCGGTGGCGTAGGGTTTTATTTTTGAGGTTTCATGTACTTGTCCTTTTCTTTCTCTCTCTATTTCTTCCCACCAACGACCGCCACTCCTTGCTGCAAAGAAGAAAGAGAAACATCTGAATTGTTGAAGGAAAGAGGAAGAAAATTTAAGTAAGAATAAGATGTTGGATTATCTACCTAAAGATGTATTGATTGATATCCTCAGAAGGCTGCCTCCGAAGAGTCTGGTCCAGTTCACTTGTGTATGCAAATCATGGTATTCTCTGATCACAAATCCAAATTTCATTTCCACACACATCAATTTCACAATCACCCACAACATCAGAGCCGAAAATCCTCCTCTATTGTTGGTTAGGCATTACGATATGTTTCACAGAATCGAGCGCTATGCAATGTATTACGATAATGAAGAGTTTGATGAGTATATAGAGCTTAAATGCCCATTGAAGAGCAAGCATGAGTGTTTCAGGGTATTGGGTTCTTGTAATGGTTTGATTTGCTTGTCTGATGATTTGGATGTTTATACGGATACTATAGTTCTATGGAACCCGTTGATTAGAAAATTGATGACTCTCCCCGAACCCCATCTGGGTTATTATGGTCCCGGCACTTGCTTTATTGGGTTTGGGTTTGATTCCTCAAGATCTGACTATAAGATTGTCAGAATAGTTTACCAGAGCAATATTAAATACGAGTTGCTAGAAAATCTGCGAGACTTCATGTACATACTTCCACCTAGTGTTGAGGTCTACACTGTTATAACTTATCCGAGAAAAGAATGATATGCGGGAATATTGAAGTCGTAATTTATTCATCAGATCAAAATCTTTAAATAGAAGATTACATCAACTAACTTGCCACTAATTTAGGAACTGCCTCATAACAATAGCAGAGAACTAAGGAACATATTAGATTACTGATACTCCTATAAAATGGTCAAGCAACTGACTCCTAAAGACTAGGACAACTAAAAACAATTTAATTTATAAAACTAAATCCTAACACCCTCCCTTAAACTGAGTGTTCTACTGACATTCAGTTTAGAAGAGTACTTCACCGGCCCAGCCCCTCCGGCAATTAGTCCCTCTCAGCTTGCTTGTTGTCGAGTAACCTTGCAGCTCCCTCCCTCAAATTAGATCATCCATGGAACAAACACCAAGTAGCCTTCGCAGCTTCACGAACACATCCAATTTGGGGGGCTTTGTGAAAATATCCGCAACCTGTTCTTCACTTCTGCAATTGATCAGATCAATAGTGCCATCATTTGCAAGATCACGCAAAAAATGAAACTGCACATCGATATGTTTACTTCTCCCATGCAGAATTGGACTTTTTGAAAGCTTGATTGTTGAACTATTGTCGCAATAGATCACAGTTGGGCCTTGCTGAGGACTGTGTAATTCTCCAAGAAGTCTCCTCAACTAGATTGCTTGAGATGCACACGCCGCAACAACGACAAATTCAACTTCAGTGGTTGACAAAGTAACGATTTGTTGCTTCTTTGATGATCAAGATACAGCCCCAGAGCTCATTAAAAATGCATGGCCTGAGGTGCTTCGTCTATCATCTGGATCACCTGCATAGTCACTATCCATGTAGCCAAATAAACCAAAACTTTCTCCTTTCTTGTAGAATATGCCAAAGCCAATTGTCCCCTACAAGTATCAGAAAATATTTTTGGCAGCAAGAAGATGCATTTTTGTAGGATTTTCCATATATCTGTTGATAAGACTGACTGCATGCATTATATCTAGACTTGTTGCAGTTAAACACATAAGGCTTCCCATAATTTGCTTGTATAGAGTTGCATCAACCTTCTTTCCTTCATGGTCTTTGGTAAGCTTCAGCCCAAGCTCAACTAGTGTACAAATAGGATTGCAATTTGCCATTTGAAACCTTTCCAAGATCTCTCGAACGTACTTCTTCTGTGAGATAAAGATCCCAACAGAATTTTGTACTACTTCAAAGCCAAGGAAGTAATGCATCGAACCTAGATCAAACATCTCAAACTCCGACATCATTGAATTTTTGAAATCATCAAACATAGTACTACTATTTCCAGTGAAAATTAAATCGTCGACATATAAACATACTATCAACAATTCACCAGCAGATCTAGATTTGACAAATAAAGTATGCTCATATGGACATTGTTGGAAGCCTGGCCTTGAGAAATATGTAGCTATGCGGTTGTACCAAGCTCGAGGAGCTTGTTTCAGCTTATATAAAGCCTTTTTTAGCTTGTACACCTTCTTCACATTCCCGTTTTGGACATATCTGGGAGGTTGATCAATATACACAGATTCTTCCAACTTGCCATGTAGAAACGTAGATATCACATCCAATTGGAAGATTGACCACGAGTTTTGTGCTGCCAATGCAAGTACCAATCGAATAGTATCATGTCTTGCAACTGGAGCAAAAACCTCTTTGTAGTCAACACCAAACTCTTGCTTGTAACCTTTTGCAACTAGGCGGGATTTGTACTTGTCAACTTTTTCTTCAGCATTCAACTTTGTCTTGTAGACCCACTTGACACCAATTGACTTCTGCCCTTTGGGAAGTTCGGTTAGTTCCCAGGTGTTGTTCTCCTCAATAGCTGTGATTTTGTCATCCATAGCCTTCTGCCATTTTGGGTCTTTGATAGCATTTTGAAACATAACAGGATCACAGTCTGCAAATAGTGCAAAATGTGTGAGTGGATCTTCTGATTGATCAACTCCACGTACCTCATAATCTTGTATTTATGCTGGTCTCTTTCTGATATGTTCTAGGTGGGATATGGCTGAAATTTGAGAGTCATCTTCTTCGGACAACACTGCAGGTTGACTTGAAGTGCTGGAATGTTCATCCACTGGAACTTGAGGATGGCTTTCTTCTTCCTCATCATCAAAGCTCACAGTAATATTCTGATTGAAATTGTTAGAAATGTCTGCCCATGTCCTCTCCTCATCAAAGATCACATCCCGACTGATAATGATCTTGCAGGTGATGGGATTAAACAACTTGTAGGCCTTTGACTGCTCACTTACCTCGAGAAAGGTGCACTTTTCTCCTTTATCATCCAATTTCTTCCTTTTCTCGTCTGATAACCCAAAAATTTGCAAGTGATTGACATTCGGTCTTTGACCATTCCATGCTTCTTCTGGTTTTTTATTTCGAACAACAACTGTAGGACTTTTGTTCAATAGATGAATGCTCCACAAGGCTGCTTCTGGCCAAAATCTTTTAGGAAGAAAAGATCTATTCAGCATACTCCGTACCATATTTAAAATCATCCGATTTTTACGTTCTGCTACACCATTTTGTTGTGGAGAGTAAGAAGTTGTAAGCTGCCTTTCGATTCCATGTGTTTCACAGAAATTTGTGAATTTCTGTGGGTTATATTCTCCACCACTATCTGTGCGTAGAGTTTTAATAGGCTGCCTAACTTCTTTCTCAACAAGGGCCTTATAATTTTTGAATGCTAATAAAGTTTCAAATTTTTCTTGCAATAAATAAACCCATGTTTTGCGACTAAAGTCATCGATAAAGGTAATAAAATACCTCTTAATACCAAAGCTTCAGATTTTGAAATTCCATTTCTTGCTGCTAACCTGTCTTGTAAGCTGCTGTTGTCCTCTAGAATGATTTAAGTCCTAATTGGATTGTGCTATGCAGCTTCGGAACCCTAAGGAAGTTACTACTGAGGAATATAATGAGTTTTACAAGAAGACATTTAATGAATACTTGGAGCCTTTAGCATCTTCACATTTCACAACAGAGGTAATAATAGTTACCATAGTACTACATTAATATTATGTGCCAATTCTCATTTTGAAATTGAAAAACAATGATGAAGCTGAAAAACAATGACGACGGATTAATGGGACCACATATATTGGAATGCACCAGCTCCAACACCTTCTTGGCTCTCCATGCTTCTCCTTTGGGGAAAGGGTCTCGATGTTGCTTCCCAATCACACATTCTTCACAAACACGTGATGGATGATCAATGTGTGGAAGACCAGACACATACTCTTTTGTTGAAGCAGCTTGAGACCAGAGAAGCTCAAATGACCATAACGGAAATGCCACAGCCATGATGAGTCTTTCACCATTACAGAAAAACAAGGAAAGACTGGTATTTTGGATCAATAAAGGGAACATCCGATTTGCTGTCATATTAACTTCAGTAATCAAACCCTTCCTTGAATCCTGAATTAGACATGTCCCATCCTTGATGATGATCTCATAGCCCTTTTCTTGAAGTTGACCAACACTCAACAGATTACTCTTCAAACTTGGTACATAGAATACATTTGAAATGGTCTGATGAGTACCTTTAGAGCTCTGAATTTGGACGTTGCCTTTCCCCATAACAGAGATGGTCGAACCATCTCCAAATTTAATAGATGAACGGTAGGATTCATCTAATTTAGAGAATATAGACTTGTTCCCACACATGTGATTACTTGATCCTGTGTTCAAGTACCATATGCTTTCACGGGATTCCTCAGCTACATTGCATGCTATTAGAAAAGAAATTTCTTCTTCCTTTTCAGTAAAATTTGATTTGGCTCCCTTTCCTTTGTGCATCTTTGTCTGACATTCAGAACGGTATGGCCGAACCTGTTGCATCTAAAGCATTTGACTTTGGATTTGTCAAATGCTTTTGATTCATGGTCATCGCTGTACTGATCATCCCGTCCTCTACTGTTGCATTGGTTTTTGTTTTTGGTGTTGCTTCCTCCCTTTCCACGCTCGGAACCCTTCTGTTGCAAAGATCGGTTGTTGGACGAGTATTGCACCTGCAATGCTTGCTCCACTACTTCATGTTGATTAATTCGCTGCTCGTGGACAGTCAACGGACTCATCAATTCTTCAATCGAAAGGACATCAAGATCCTTCGATTCCTCAATTGAGCAGACCATGTAATCGAACTTCTTTGTCATTGATCGAAGAATCTTCTTAGTCACAGTTATTTCTTCCATCTTTTCTCCACATGATCTCATCTTGTTCACAATAGACATAGTTCTGGAGAAATATTCCTCCACTGACTCTATCAACTGCATGCGAAGAGTTTCAAATTGTGAATGAAGTGCTTGAAGTTGAGATCGTTTCACCATTGCATTGCCTCGATACTTTTGCTTCATTGCTTTCCAAATTTGTTTTGAAGTATCTTTGGTGAGTATGGTCTCTAGGATTGTGCGATCAATGGCTTGGAATAGGTAGTTCTTTGCCTTCAAGTCCTTCAATTTGATTTCCTCCAGCTTCACTTTCGAGCGTCTGTCAAAGTGCTAGACTCTGTCGGTTCTGTATATCCAACCTCAATGAGATGCCAATACTCTTTGGACCTCAAGAGGTCTTCCATTAGGATGCTCCAATGATCATAATGACCATCAAATCTAGGTATAGCAGGCTGCACAAATTGCTCTGGCGCCATTGAAAGAGAACTGCTATTGCCTAGAAAAACAAGAGGAAGTAGATAAAAGCTACAACTTTCAATAGTTTCTACGTCTCCTGTTTTTCAAGCAAGCTCTGATACCACTGTTATAACTTATCAAAGAAAAGAATGATATGCTGGAATATTGAAGTCGTAATTTTTTCATCAGATCAAACTCCTTAAATATAAGATTACATCAACTAACTTGCCACTAATTTAGGAACTGCCTCATAACAGTAGCAAAATAATAGTAGTTGAAAACTAAGGAACAGATTAGATTACTGATACTCCTATAAAATGGTCAAGCAACTGACTCCTAAAGACTAGGACAACTAAAAACAATTTAATTTATAAAACTAAATCCTAACATACACTCTTAGCACAGGGACTTGGAGAAGCGTTTGTGATGTTGCTTTGCAGCATGTTGTTTATGACAATTATTTGCCGACAGGTTTTGTAAATGGGGCTTTACATTGGGTTGCATCTAATGGTGGTGACAGGAATAGTTTTCGAAGTTTGATTGTGGCATTTGATATGGGTGGTGAGGTGTTTAGGGACATAATGATGCCTCAAGCTGTAGCTAATAAAGATGTAACTAATTTGGCTGTGATGGTAATGGGCACATCGCTTGCTCTGGTTGAGTATCAAAGGTTTTGGCAAAGTGAATATTGTTGGGTGTGGGAGATGAAAGAGTATGGTGAAGCGGAATCATGGTCTAGACTATACAATATTGATATGCGAGAACGGATAAGGAATGTTGTGGGACTTAGGAAGAACAATGAAGTATTTCTAACGGCAAGAGTGAAAGGGTTGGTTTCATATGACCCCATTACAAAAGAGATTAAATGTCTTGGAATCCATGGCACTAATCGCGGGTTTTACGCTAATACTCATGTGGAGACCTTAGTTTTACTCAAGGGAGTGTGTGGAGTCTTGGGCCAGGCAAGTTCTAGTAATGCTATGGCTGACGAGGGAGATCCACTTTAGCCTTGAAAGATAATAAAGTTGAGGAGCAACAACTACCAAAAGCATCAACTGGAGCAAAGTCTGACGAGGAGAACAACAATTACTAGTGATTTCAATTCAAGTTCTGTAAATTATGTTTGCCATTTGCATGCATACATTAATTGATTATGGTGTTTACAAGTTGGAGTAGTGATGTTTTATGGTACAACTAGACATGGCATTGCAAGCAGAGTCTCTTTACGGACTTTATGAAGAACATTATTCAATTTCATGGTGATTTTAAAAGGTATGATTGCTTCCTTATGCCAATAACAATAACCACAACTCATCTGTCTTAATCTTATGTTTGGACCCCTCTAATCTCTCTATTTGACTAAAAATTATACTTAGAAGCTATCATGGTTGGTAGGGTTGAATAATGATACCTGGGAATTTATATTATTCGCACATCTCTCCCTCCCCCTTGGGCTATGCCAATTGGCTTAGGTGATTCTTGTTGTTTTGGGCATTGGGTTGGACCCTCTTTCGAGTTTCAGAGGTGAATCATTATAAAATGGAGACCTATCATTGGGGAAATCAACATCAGTAACTAAATCAATCTTTATTGGCTGGGTTGCTTTGCTTGGTTAGTAGATAAGGCGAATCCCTTGGTAGTGTATCTGTTGGAGACATTCAGAGTTGCTTGGTTATTTGGTTCGAGGAATGCAGGGCTTTTGAGCATGATAAATGTTTAATATTGCATGGATACTTTGGTAGCACATTCAACTACTCGTGGCTGCATGTTGGTATCCACTCTGCATCATTTACTGATAACAGTATTATAGAATATAGTTATTCAACTTTGGTAGCGCATTCAACAATATGTTATTTCTTATCGGAAGAACCCAAATCTTCAAACGATGCCGTATTGAGTTATTCATTGAGTAGATTCAGATATGGTTATTTTGCAGTTTCAACGTTTAGGTTCAAGTTGACCAGCGGAAGTCAGAACAAATACCGAGACTTTGTTCTTTTATGCCTTAACGTGTTTGATCAAAATTCCAGTGTAGAATCGGAGTGGTAGTTATAAACAAAATGAAACTCAAGAAAGCATACATAGGAAACATATTTCTGACAAAATAAAATCATCAGGGACAATGTGCTTAGCTTCTTTTTAAAGGGTTTTCACTCATTCTAATGTGATTTAGTAGGTTGAGCTGTACCAATATTGCTCATATGTTTCTTATTTGTCATAAACTTCTAGTTGTTGAAGCCATATGTGACTTTGCTGTAAACTGAATTCTAACAATTTTCTTTGGTGGAAGATACTGATGATTATCTGCCATTTTTTTTTGGTGGAGTTAATGATCATTTGGCGCAATGGTTGTCCAGGTTCCCAAAGAAGTCACTGTGGACAACCACCATGCTTGCAGAGTTTCTGGCTGTAAGAGGTGGGTGGCTTTTCAAGTAGTTTATGATCTTTGTTCAGGGTGACTGGAAACTACCATGGTTGTGCAGCTGTGATCACCGTGATTCAGAATGATTCAAGTTTAGAATTCTAGAATTCTTGCTAGGACACACGTCTTGGGACATGCAGAGTAGGTATGCACTTTCATTTTTCCTCTATTGTTTTTCTCTACATCACCTTCTTTCATGGAATTTGTTGTTTGCTGATGCTAGGGGTGTTTCTTACCTCAGAATGATGTACATGTAATTTTCTTGAATAAAACCTCATTTTCACTGAAAAATAATCTACAAATCTGGATGCAAGCAAGAAATTTTATTGAATTTTGACGCCCAATGAAATCTGTGTGAAGATATCTTTTGGTGAAGTATATTTGCAAAGCTCGATAAGTTTGAGCTTTAAACTTCCATTGTACATAATCATAGAATGGGGGTCCGGACAGAAAGTTCCAATAAATCACTAGTTTTCTACATTGATTTTACATCTTTTTCATAGAGTTCTTTAAATCATATCTTCCCACTTGATCCTGCAATCGTTGGAATTGGTTGGCTGATTGCTTGATCGGAAGGATTGTCGCTTTTCTATCTTAGCTTAGCTAGAGTAGAAAAACCCCAAATTGTAGAGCTGTAAGCATTGCATCACAACAACGACGCATTTGAGGTGTATATGGGGCTTCAATGTTCATTGAAGAGTGAGCACTTGTATATAAGCATATGGGGCAGGTTTGGATGGTTTTGGGGTGGGGGGATTGGATTGGGTTTATCAAACCTTTCCAAACCCAACTCCCACCTTTGTGTATATGAGATTCATATAGATGAATTAAATTTGTACTCCGGTTTGGTAAGTAATATATGCATTAGGTGGGACCCACAAATTAATCACAATTATAATAAAGCATTTGTAATGTAATTGACTAAATTGTCCATGAACTATGTATATGAGATATTTTAATAGGGATAGAAGGGTCATTCGACATAGCTAACCTAGACTAGCATATATGAAACCCACTCTCTTTGGGTTTGCCCAACTCCATGTTTATGGGTTTAATATTCTGAGCCATTTACGCGCTGGGATATGAATTTTGGGTTTAAAAATCTTAGCCAATCATGAGATTAAGAGGTCTATCGAACTATTTTTTGTAAACTCACCCTTCCAAACTTGTCCAAACCTATCAAACAAATATGCCTTTGAGGTGTATATGGAGCTTCAATGTCCATTGAAGAGTGAGCACTTGTATTTCAGGATAGTGGGTTTTTGTAATGGGTTGATTTGTTTTTCTGATGATTTTGATAAATGGGCTACAATATGTTGATGCATAATTATGTATAATAGTGAAAGCGATATACAAGAAAGTACCAAAGTGAATGAGGACTAGTAGTTAACTATAAGCCTATCATACCACATATCCAAGAAAAACATTGTACGATACTCTTATCTCTACCAATACCAAATTAACCCACGATACATGTCACATTGGATAAAATAATATCACTTGCATTCGAAATGGGCGACCTCCAAATCTCTTGCTTGCACTCTCAGTATACAAATAGATAGGACTCCAAATCGATTGGACCTGACCTAGCTCGTCACTGATTTTCTCAAAAAAATTTCATCCATGAGGTCAATCCTCGTCATTCGGAAGATTTTATTTCTCAGGTCTCTCACTTTGAGGTTTCTATTATGCTTGTTGTCCCGGGTTCTCTTCATTTGTATGTTTTTCCTATGTTAGAAATTGTAATAGGTGATTGTTCATAATGATCAAAATCTTTCACCTTATATAACTAAATAAAATAAAAATAAAATCGTATGAGAATAGAGTAGGAGTTGAAGTTGAAATACTAACCAATAACCTAATATATAATATAGCAAACAAGGAATCCCCAACCTTTTTAAGGTACAATAATAAAGATATACCTAATATATAATAGCAAGCAAGGAATCCCCAATCTCTTCAAGGTACAATAATAAAATTATCTTTTAAATCATTATCATACACCCCAATATAATAAGATTTAAAAAGATTCTTGAAAGATAGTGGCTGAGTTAATGATCATCGTCTCAGCTACCCGCTGTTAAACCTTAAGGTCGCAAATTCAAATCTAGTTGTTCCCTTCTCCTAGTGCTTGACAAAAAAATAAAATAAAATCCAGTTTTTTTTTAAATTTATAATAAAAATCATACAAGAAGATAATAAGAATGTAAGGTAAAATACATGTAATCACAATGACAATATAATAGATGAAAGAAAACTTCTATACAATGTGAAAGGCATCTTCAATTCGTTTACCTATACTCCGAGTATACAATTCAAAAAATTATGATAATAGAATAGGAGTCGAAAATAAATATCCATTCAAGAACTAATATAAAAACATGTTGGCTCTTCATAATTTTCAACCTAAAAGTCAACTTCCAAATCTTTTGCTTATACTTAAGAGTTAATAATAAAAAAAGAAATTGAAGAGTCCATAGAAATTCACAACATTTATTCACATTGCCACCTCTTTTTTCTTCTTATTCTTCTCATTTTTTGTCCCTATGAATCGAAAGGTCAAATATAAGATGCTCGTCCATAATCTAACAGATAGCAGAAAATTAGAAACCTTCAATATCTATCTAATATTTCGTTACGAAGTTGAATTCTAAACTTAAAAAAGTACAACAATGGTCAAGATTGATCAAATTTTTATGCACTTTGATCTAATAGTATAAAATTTATCTCAAAGTTTTTTTTTCCGCACAAAAACATCAACTTTTCTGCACAACTCCCATTGCCAAACAATTCAATTAACATACTCTCCAATGTCAAATAATTTTATCAATCAACACTTATATCTCTTTTCATTTTAATTTTAAACGAATATTCGATCTTGTTAATATACGACACTAAAGTTAACTTTTTAATGGTTTGCTTAGCTCACACTCTAAGATTGTGATTCAAAAAATCACGAGGAAACCATAGGATCTGAACATAAAAGCTCACTCATAACTAGGGGTCTTCATCTTTTATCTTACGGGTAGGAATAATGATATTTTATCTTCTTATCCGATACTTTGCGGGAACATTTTTCTTGACCTACCCTACCCAATCAAGTTTATTATTTCTACCTAAATTCTGACCAAAACAATTTGAAAAGAAATCGGATGAACACAATATTTTTTAGTAATTAATTTTTTAATCATTTTAATAATTTAATTAAGTAATATGTACCAATTAACCAACACAATAATCTTAAAAATTTAACACATAACCAGTGTTTCTAGTTTGTAGTTTTTGCACACATTAATAGTGTTAAAATGTTAAAAATTTAACACACACACACACACATATATGCAGGTAGGGTCGGGTAGGAAGACTAAATTTTTATGGGTATTCTACATTCTTACCCGATTTTTGTGAAATACCAAAATTTCTTCCGTTGACCTATTCGATTTTTTGCGATAGCCAATCAATAGAACATGATAGAATCAGAATATTCAAGTAATCGAAAATTTGAATAGCCCCTACCCATAACCTATCAAGTAATAGTTGATAATCTTCGATCCAATTAATCTACAAATGGAAGCCAACTCACAAGTCATTTACAAAGCTTGCACACTATGTATTACGATTTGAAAAATTATGCAAGAAACAATAGGATCCGAATGTAAGTTGCCCACCCATTTTTTACTCCTAATAAATCGGTAGAAGCCTAATGTGAGTAGTAGGAATTACTACATGTTTCTATTTATATTTTTATTATTTTCTTAGGATTAACATCTAATTAGGAATATTATAGAGTGATTAGCTGCCTAAACCATGTCGAATTTCTTAGATTCCATTCGACATGCATTTTATTTGTTTTTAGCTACTCTCTCATGTTGGGGGTTTAATTTCGTTTTAGAATATTTAAGGGTTTGATAATTTGTATGAATTATTCTTATGTAATACGAAACTTATTCATTTAATGACACATATTTTTTGAGTATTTATTCTTATATTCATGTCGATTCTGGCTTTGTATGTGTTCTATATAAAAAATAAAAATAAAAATAAATAATGATTTCATTGTGTTCTTATTATCGCTTTATGACGGGGCCTCACCACCAAACATACCCTTGTTTGCACATGCTGTCTAATAACTAGCAAAACTTCTCTCGTCTTTTGATGTTCGTGTGACTAAATCCAATTACAAAAACTAAGACGGATGGTATTTAAATCATATCTACGTAATTTCTTTGTCAGCAACGTACTTTCGTGTGGATCTCAAGTTCCAAAAATAAAAAAAAAAGAACAAGGGATTCACATGTCTTAGTTTCAGGATGGATTTTGGGGCATCGTTGTTTGTAACGTGACATGTGTGTTATGAGTTTAAATAATAAAAATAATTTTTCATATATCGGGTAAGATTATATACATTTCACCTTGCTCAAATCTTTAAAAGTCTTGCTTTCCTTACAAAAACTTATCTTTCATCATTACATATTAGGGTTAATTGTATTGGAGGTTTTCCAAGTATAAAGTTGACAACATTTTGGTCCTAAATATTTTAATTACATCATTTTGTCCTTGAAGTTTTGAACATGTCTTTATGTGTTTCATAAGGAAATAACATCCAAATTACTAATGATTTTTGATCATAAACTTATCACATGATATCTAAATATGGGCAAAAAAAATGATTTGGATAACTCTTGATCAAATTTCTATCTAAATTTTGGTTAAGAACTACCTATATTGCACATTTTTGATCAAGAGGTACTCAAATTTTTGTCAAGAGTTACTTAAATTATTTTTCCCTATGTTTAAGTATCATGTGACAAATTTATGATAATAAAATTATTAACAATTTGGATGTTGTTTGTTTGAGGGATTAAATGAAAATATATTCAATATTTCAGGACTAAAATGATTCAATTAAAATACTGAAGACCAAAATAAGATAAATTTGCAATTAATCCTACATATTATTAGCATAATTAAGGGCAAATAACACTTTGACCCCTTCATTTCTCCACTGTGCCATGGACTTGGCTGGTGAGAAACAAAACAAGAAAAGAAAATTCAAGCAAGAAGAAGATCAACCCGAGGGCGACACTATAAACAAACGCGACGGAGACGCCGATAAAATCCATAAATGACGTTTATTTAATGTTTCCCAGCATTTTAAAAACGCTGATAAATCTTTTTTTTTTTTTNCTCTCATGTTGGGGGTTTAATTTCGTTTTAGAATATTTAAGGGTTTGATAATTTGTATGAATTATTCTTATGTAATACGAAACTTATTCATTTAATGACACATATTTTTTGAGTATTTATTCTTATATTCATGTCGATTCTGGCTTTGTATGTGTTCTATATAAAAAATAAAAATAAAAATAAATAATGATTTCATTGTGTTCTTATTATCGCTTTATGACGGGGCCTCACCACCAAACATACCCTTGTTTGCACATGCTGTCTAATAACTAGCAAAACTTCTCTCGTCTTTTGATGTTCGTGTGACTAAATCCAATTACAAAAACTAAGACGGATGGTATTTAAATCATATCTACGTAATTTCTTTGTCAGCAACGTACTTTCGTGTGGATCTCAAGTTCCAAAAATAAAAAAAAAAGAACAAGGGATTCACATGTCTTAGTTTCAGGATGGATTTTGGGGCATCGTTGTTTGTAACGTGACATGTGTGTTATGAGTTTAAATAATAAAAATAATTTTTCATATATCGGGTAAGATTATATACATTTCACCTTGCTCAAATCTTTAAAAGTCTTGCTTTCCTTACAAAAACTTATCTTTCATCATTACATATTAGGGTTAATTGTATTGGAGGTTTTCCAAGTATAAAGTTGACAACATTTTGGTCCTAAATATTTTAATTACATCATTTTGTCCTTGAAGTTTTGAACATGTCTTTATGTGTTTCATAAGGAAATAACATCCAAATTACTAATGATTTTTGATCATAAACTTATCACATGATATCTAAATATGGGCAAAAAAAATGATTTGGATAACTCTTGATCAAATTTCTATCTAAATTTTGGTTAAGAACTACCTATATTGCACATTTTTGATCAAGAGGTACTCAAATTTTTGTCAAGAGTTACTTAAATTATTTTTCCCTATGTTTAAGTATCATGTGACAAATTTATGATAATAAAATTATTAACAATTTGGATGTTGTTTGTTTGAGGGATTAAATGAAAATATATTCAATATTTCAGGACTAAAATGATTCAATTAAAATACTGAAGACCAAAATAAGATAAATTTGCAATTAATCCTACATATTATTAGCATAATTAAGGGCAAATAACACTTTGACCCCTTCATTTCTCCACTGTGCCATGGACTTGGCTGGTGAGAAACAAAACAAGAAAAGAAAATTCAAGCAAGAAGAAGATCAACCCGAGGGCGACACTATAAACAAACGCGACGGAGACGCCGATAAAATCCATAAATGACGTTTATTTAATGTTTCCCAGCATTTTAAAAACGCTGATAAATCTTTTTTTTTTTTTTAAGTGATTGGGTCTTTCCTAATGATACAAAAAAAAGCACTTGTGATAATTTATAATCGATTGACACTATACACTGATGGAATTTTTAAATTACAAACAGCTGTTAGGTTTTAGGTTTCTGAAGTGATTACTAAGGGAAAAAAAAAGATGCGGACAAACGAGATAGAAATAAATAGAATGTTATTCAACAGTGGATCCCACACCCAATCAACAATACTTGGAAGTTTCCGTCAGCTTTGGTATTAACTAATTTGTTATTATCAATGTTCCCTATTTTATATGCTAAAGTTCTTTCTTCATCCCTGAGACTGCTAGCTTTACTCTATGCTTCTGATTCTCCACTGTGCCATGGACTTGGCTGGTGAGAAACAATCCAAGAAAAGCAAATGCAAGCAAGAAGAAGATCAACCCGAAAATCGGATTGATAGCCTCCCTCATGAAATCTTCATAAACATAGTTTCAAGGCTACCTATAACATCTCTCATTCAATTCAGGTTTGTATCCAGAGCCTCACAAATCTTGTCAAACGATCCACTTCTTGGTGACTTGCACTTATCCCGAACAACGAAGAACAATCCATGCCTTATATTTCATTGTGACTATCCGATTCAAAACCAGCTCTATTTTGTTGAGCTTCCTGATCATGATGATCATCAGAAAGAGATCGTGAGGGAAATTCATACTCCTTTCTCTGCTTCTATGCCAGAATTTTATGTGGTAGGTTCATGTAATGGCTTATTATGCTTATCCAATTTGTTATTCGATGGTTCACTCTCTGTGTACAATCCTTTTACTAGGAAACACAAAGAGCTTCCCAAATCAATTAAGTGTGAAGAACAAAAGGTGATGTTTGGATTTGGATTTCACCCAGTTGCCAAAGAGTACAAGGTGGTCAAAATAATCTACTTTGGCAATGTATATAATGTTTACAATAGACCTTGGCGTTATAGATTCAGAAACCTTGAATTTCCAAACTCAGAGGCTCAAATTCTTAGTCTGAGTAGTAACACATGGAGAAGTATTGGAGAAGTACCTTATCAGCTAAAAAGGTCGTCGGAAGCATTAGTGAATGGAAGGCTTCATTGGGTGACCTACCAGGGGGTTCTTGGCCCAATTATAGTCTCTTTTGACCTAGCAGATGAACAATTCCGGGAGGTACCAGGAGCTGGCAGTGGTTTCCTAGCTAGGTGTAACTTTTATTTGGTAGTTTTGGGAGGGTGTCTCTCTGCTGTTGTGCCTTTCAGTTTTGGGAGATTGGAGATTTGGGTATTGAAAGAATATGATGTGAAAGAGTCTTGGATCAAAGAGTACAGCTTCGAGTCTTACATGCCAAGGGTTGTAAATCAAGATCTGGAGAGAAATTATGGGATTTGGAAGAACGTTGTGAATACGAGAATTGTTCGAGTCTTGTGTCTTCTGAAGAATGGAAAGATCTTGCTCGAGTACAGAGGTGGAAATCTTGTTTCTTATGATCCGAAGAGCAAAATATTTGAGAATATGATGTTTCAGGGGATGCCTAATTTGTGTCAAATAGTTGTTCATGTTGGTAGCCTTAATTGGATTGACATCTCTACTGACTCATAGGAGTAAACTAAAACTTTTTTATGTTCTTCTGCATTGCAATTGTTGTAAGTTGTAGTCATTGCCAAACTCTTAGAAGATATGCACATATGTACTTTTTTAGACCACATACTACACTGCATCCAGGATTGACTAGCATTCAATAATCTCTCTCAACCTTTTCTTTTGGGAATGGCCCTTTCACCATTCACATGAGAGTAAACTATGCAATTTTGGTACTCGGACTGAATTGTTTGTTGTTGTTGTTGATGCTGAGGTTCATCTTTGATATCATCGTTTATTAGACAGATATTCTTCTAAATCCTTCATACGATTTTTTTTTTCACCTTAACATCAACTAATAGCAAATGAACCTGTTATAGTAGCTTGTTAACTAGGCCAAATGACATAATTTTCCCACACTCGGAGGTGTTTTGCAAATGACCCTCTGTCTTGTGGACCTTATTTAGGGCGTGGGCCCCTCTCAATAATTGTCATCACGATAATTCTTATTTTCCTTGATTAAATATTGAGTTGAACCATTCAATAAAAAAAGTAAAATAGCGCACACTTTCCTATCATGGAGGAGATTATATATGATATGATTGGGTAGTTATGAACTATAGTGGGACTTATTTGCTGATTTATTTACTTATTAATAGACTGTTACATCACACGACACTACTGAATGGACTGTTACACCACATAACACTGTTAAAATAGTGTATTCCTTGATTGCATACAAGGTAGCAAACTCATTAAGCATGTCACGATGGTGAAATTTTTTGTCATTACAAATAGACGAGTCAATTAATTTAAATAATTCTAATGCCTCACTGATTAGTTGCTCATCCGATGTAGGTTCTCGAGACCATTTGTTACAAAAGAGTAAGATTATGATTGAGGTATTCTCTTGAGATTCTAAATTCAACTTGTCTAAAAATTGTCCTAACTAATTTGCGGTTATAAACGATCTAGATTTTTTGTCCTAATGATGGAAAGAAGGCCAAAACTGAAGAAATTCATGGTTAAGCGATGAGTATCGATTGTTGACCCAATTCGAATCACATACCACTAGTCCTATTAAATTCTGAATCTAACTCATTTTGCTCTACTATTATTTTTAGTCTTTCACTGAGCTTTGAAAGCGCGACAATCTATTCGTTCCAAGTAATCTTCTGCTATCTGTTCTACATGACGATCTTGCCTTAATTGAATAAACAATTGGGAGAAGCATGCAAGGTAGCAATCTTATTAAGCATATAATTACCAATCACGATGACACAATTTTTTGTCATTACAAATAGGTTAGTCAACATAAGTCTAAAGCTTATTAATGTACAATTTAGTAATCAACTGATCATCCGATGTGGATTCTTGAGACTATTGATTAGAAAATAGTAAGATTACAAGGTATTATCTTGAGATTTTAAATTCAACTCGTGTAAAAATTGTATTAGATCACTTGATAAGTATGATTTATGATAATTATGTGCATTCTGATTAGGTGTTGCACTTATGGATTGTGTTTAGGGCATCGGCCCCTCTTCATAGTTGTCATCAGGATGATCGTACAACCAGTTAACAATACTTACAGTCTCGTATTGACAAATTCGTTATAATCAAAGTTCCCCATTTTTTATGCTGAAGTTCTTTCTTTCATCCCTGATCCTGCTAGCTTTCCTCTATGCTTCTGATTCTCCACTGTGCCATGGACTTGGCTGGTGAGAACCAATCCAAGAGAAGAAAATGCAAGCTAGAAGAAGATCAACCCAAAAATTGGATTCATAGCCTGCCTCATGAAATCGCCATAGACATACTTTCTAGGCTACCTGTAACATCTCTCATTAAATTCAGGTTTGTATCCCGAGCCTCGCAGATCTTGACAAACGATCCACCTCTGGTTAAGTTGCACCTCTCCAGGACAGCGAAGGACAATCCTTGCTTTATATTTCACAGTGACTATCCGATTCGAAACAAAATCTATTTTGTTGAGCTTTCAGATCATGATGATCAGAAAGAGATTGTGAGGGAAATCCAGACTCCTTTCTCTGCTTCTATGCCAGAATCTATTGTGGTAGGCTCATGTAATGGCTTATTATGTTTATCCGATGATTTGTTATTCAATGGTTCACTCTATGTGTACAATCCTTTTACTAGGAAACACAAAGAGCTGCCCAAATCCATTAAGTTTGAACAACAAGAGGTGGTGTTTGGATTTGGATTTCACCCAGTTACCAAAGAGTACAAGGTGGTCAAAATAATCTACTATGGCACTGCATATAATGCTGATAATAGACCTTGGCGTTATAGCAGAGTCAGAAACCGTGACTTTCTAAACTCAGAGGTTCAAATACTTAGTCTGAGTAGTAACACTTGGAGAAGCATCGGAGAAGTACCTTTTCAGCTAGAAAGAAGGTCATCAGAAGCATTAGTGAATGGAAGGCTTCATTGGTTGACCCAATGGGGGAAGTATCACGGGGTTCTTGGCCGAGTCATAGTCTCTTTTGACCTAGCAGATGAGCAATTCCGAGAGGTACCAAGAGCTGGCAGTGGTTTCCTAACTACGTGTTACTTTTATTTGGGGGTTCTGGGAGGGTGTCTCTCTGCACTTGTTCCTTTGAGTTTTAGGAGATTGGAGATTTGGGTACTGAAAGAATATGATATGAAAGAGTCTTGGATCAAAGAGTACAACTTCGATTCTTACATGCCAAGGGTTGTACATCAAGATTTGCATAGACAACACGGGATTTGGAAGGACGTTATCAATAGAAAAATTGTTCGAATCCTGTGTGTTATGAAGAATGGAAAGATCTTGCTAGAGTATACAGCTGGAAATCTAATTTCTTATGATCCCGAGAGCAAAACATTTGAGAATTTGACGTTTCAGGGGATGCCTGGTAATTTTTTTCAAACAGTAGTTCATTTTGGCAGTCTTAATTGGATTGATATCCCTCCTGAATCATAGGAGTAAACAAAAACTTTTTTATGTTCTTCTGCATTGCAATATTAGTAAGTTGTAGGCATTGCCAGCCTCTTAGAAGGTATGTTAATGTTATTTTTTGTGTGGAATGCATGAGGTTCATCCTCTGTGTTTGTAATTTGTACTCATGAACATGAACTCTGCCTCTGTACAAAGACTATGCTACAAGAAGAGAATTTTACATTGTGTGTTCTAAATGGATCTGATTTTCAGAAGATACTTTGGGAAGAAGTATGGAAAACATGAAATTTCTGATGGTTTCATATGAAAATGACAGATATTTTGAATTGAGAAACTTCAAAGAAAAATTTGGCACACACAAACTAAAACTGTGCGCCTGATAAGTATGCTGAGAAATGTTGTACAGGTTGGCCCAATGGTCTTTCTGTGCAGCAGTCCACAACAAATGCAGCTATCTTCTAGCCCGGTGTGATGGGTTGCCTCATGGGGCGGGAGGCTCAAGGTAATTTGAGTTTTAAAACGAAAAAATTAAATAAATTTTTTTAAAAAATTATTTTTTTTTTATTTTTTTTATATGAGAGAGATAGAAGAAGGATATACTAATGTTTCTAAGAAAGAGGTTTCAACATTTACTTTTATTTTTTACAAATGAGTTAATTTTAACTTTTGTTTTTATTTTTACTTTTTTTTAGGGGAGGAGAGAGAAAAAATGAGTGGAAATAAATATGAGTTGACTTTTGAGTTTTTTTTTTTTTAATTTTTTTTAATTTTTGATTTTTAGGTTTTAATATCATGAATTGGATTACGGGCCCAAATTATTGAAATAATAATTTTCATTGGACTTAATTTTTTAAGATTTTTTTTAAAGCATAAAATTTAATAGATTTAAATTTTTTTGTGAGCTAATAATGTACCTAAACTTATAGGACCTTCTAAAAATTTTGAGGCCTAAAACCGAGACTTTAAAATTTGGAAGGGTTCACTTTAGGAAACTTATTTATCTAAAGGTTTATAGCTCCGATTTTTCGGTCATTAAGTCCTCACTTTCCCAAATATTTGGTGACAGGATACACATTTCAATTTTTTATATTTTTATATTATGTAATTGCCCTTAACTTAATTCATACAATTTAGATATGACAATTTCTTTATTTTTTGATTCTACTTTATTAGATAAGAGGTTTTTGAAATTAAAATATTAATTAATCGTTTAAATTTTGAGATAGTTGAACCAAAGACATTACTTAAACCAATTGAACTTCTTGTTTTGACCCTTTGTCATTTGGAGTCTTGGACAATGTTTAGGGCGTTGGCCCCACTTAGTAATTATCAGGATGATCCTACTATATTTGATTCAATAATCAGGTTGTTGGATTAGGGGTGTCAAAAGTGTCAGGTTAAACGGTTATGTGTCGAATTAAACAGGTGATGGATAAAAAATATATAAATTTATACACAACCCGTTTAATAAACGGATGAAAAACATTAATACGAACACGAACAATTTAATAAATGAGTATATATATTTTGTGGTTGTCACTAAAAAAAAATATGCATAATTTTTTAAAATAATTATTCATTTTTATTATATTAATTTTATTTAAACGGATAAACAGGTTAACCAGACTCACCCGAACACGACTCGTTTATTAAACGTGTCTGACGGGTCAACCTGTTTAACATCCAAACTCGTTAGGCTCTCACCCAAATTTATTTAATTTATGTCAATTAGTATCGATTAATTTTATGGTGTCGCACTTTGACAAACCTAGATCGAATGCATTCAAAATAGCTGTCAAAATGGCGATAGACTTTTTGTCACAATACATAGGTTTGTCAATTAACTTACCTTACTCTGGAATTCAATAATTTAAATTTTATTCATGTCGTGGTCACACATGATGAACAAAATGTAGAGTTTCAAAATCATCCCGCTTTTCTATGCAACAAAGACAGTGACGTTTTTTTTGGGTTCCTCCGTTGAGTTTTGTTGTAGATTGTTATGCGTGTTTTTTCTGTGTATATTCTGTGAAAAAAAAAAAAAAAAAAAAGACAGTGACGTTTTAAGAGATATTATTTCAAGATTCTAAATTCGACTCGTAAAAAAATAAAAAAAAATTTGGATGACACGACCCACACGTGTATTTGATTTATGATTGAATTGTTTGGTCCATAACAGTTGTCTTACAATAGTTCCAAAAGGTTATTCAAAAGTGGATCCCACACCCAATTAGCAATACTTGTAGTTTCCGTCAACTTTGGTATTGACAAATTGGGTTAGTAACACAATATCGCCTTCAACTTTAGCTAATTTGTCATTCACTCATTCTGATTTTAATTTTAATAAATAAATCCCTTAAGTTTGAATATTTTATAATTAACTTTAAAAATCAATTTTAGACAATAAAAAATGATGTATACAAAACTCATGTAATTTCTATTTTGTTAAAAATAAGCAATTAATCTTATGTGTATAGGTGTTGGATGGAGGTGGAGACAAAGATGAAAGCGTACATAGTGTTATGTAGCGTGTTGATGTTAGGCTAGATAGATGTATTTTTTTCTTGGTTTTTTCATTTTTATTTTTATTTTTTACAGATATAATTGATATCTCAAGAAAAAAAATATAGGAAATAATGTACAAAATGGAGGGCGTATGATACTTTCATGTTAAAATCACAGTTGTGAGTCAATTTAGTTTACTTGAAACTTGGAGGGTACAAATTGCAGCATTTAAAACTATATAGAGCTGATTGAAATAAGAGGCGTAGTTGGAGGGAAAAAATGTAATTAACCCTAACAAATTTGTTGCTATCAAAGTTCCTCATTTTATATGCTAAAGTTCTTTCTTCATCCCTGATCCTTCTAGCTTTACTCTTTGCTTCTGATCTACACTGTGCCATGGATATGGTTGGTGAGAAACAATCCAATAGAAGAAGATGCAAGCTAGAAGAAGATCAACCCGAAAGCTGGATTCATAGCCTGCCTCATGACATCGCCATGGACATACTTTCAAGGCTACCTGTAACATCTCTCATTCAAGTCAAGTTTGTATCCCGAGCCTCGCAGATCTTGACAAACGATCCACTTCTGGTTAAGTTGCACCTCTCCGAGACAGCGAAGAACACTCCTTGCCTTATATTTCACAGTGACTATCCGATTCGAAACCAGCTCTATTTTGTTGAGCCTTCTGATCATGAAGATCAGAAAGAGATTGTGAGGAAAATTCAGACTCCTTTCCCTGCTTCTATGCCAGAATTTAATGTGGTCGGCTCATGTAATGGATTATTATTCTTATCTGATTCGTTATACGATGATTCACTCTATGTGTACAATCCTTTTACTAGGAAACACAAAGAGCTGCCCAAATCCATTCAATTTGAACAACAAGAGGTGATGTTTGGATTTGGGTTTCATCCAGTTACCAATGAGTACAAGGTGATCAAAATAATCTACTATTACAATGCCTATAGTGGTTATGGTCGAGGTTGGCGTTATGGCAGATTCAGAATCCATGACTCTCCCCACCCAGAGGCTCAAATACTTAGTCTGAGTAGTAACATATGGAGAAGTATTGGAAAAGTACCTTATCAACTAGACAGAAGGTCATCAGAAGCCTTAGTGAATGGGCGGCTTCATTGGCTGACCCGACGGGTGAAGAATAACGGGGTTCGTGGCCAGATCATGGTATCTTTTGACCTAGCAGATGAGCAATTCCGTGAGGTACCAAGAGCTGACAATAATGCTTTCCTAACTAGGCGTAACTGTTATTTGACAGTTCTAGGAGGGTGCCTCTCTGCAGTTGTGCCTTTAAAATATGGGAGATTGGAGATTTGGGTAATGAAAGAATATAATGTCAGAGAGTCTTGGTTCAAGCAGTATGACATTGCAGCTGACTTGCCAAAGAATGTAGATCAAGATCTGAAGAGACCATACGCCATTTGGAAGAACATTATGAATAAGAGAATCGTTAGGAATAAGAGAATCGTTCGAATCCTATGTCTTCTGAAGAATGGCAAGATCTTACTAGAGTACAGAGGTGGAAACCTTGTTTCTTATGATCCGGAGAGTGAAACATTTGAGAATATGATGTTTCAGGGGATGCCTAATTTGTTTCAAACAGTTGTTCATGTTGGTAGTCTTAATTGGATTGCTAATCCTACTGAATTGTAAGAGTAAACAAAAACTTGTTTATATTATTCTGCATTGCAATTGTACTAAGTTGTAGGCATTGCCAGCCTCTTAGAAGATATGCAAATATATGTTTCTTTAGACCATATACTATACACCGAATCCAGGATTGAAATGAAGGTCTTCTAGCATTCAACAATCTCTGTCAACCTTTCCCTTTTATCATTCATGAAGAGTAAAATATGCAATTTTGGTACTCGGACTGAATTTGTTGTTGTTGATATATGTTTTTCAAGTGGAGGTTTATTTTTGATATGATGGTTTATTAGACAGATGCACCCTTTAGTTCTTCCAAATCCCTAATTCGAAATTTTTCGTACTTTCATGTGGAGGTTCATCTTTCTCTCACAGTGCTCACAACTCTATGATCACTGTTCAGTGAACGTTGCTCACACACAGATTACTTTTTTTTTTTTGCTATGTGCTACAACGGCGGAGAACTCAATCACTGATCATCACTCGGCTCCACTCCGTCCTCTATCAACTCGAGTTTTCGTTGCAACATAAGGACATGGTTTAGAGCCAAAAAGCCAACATTTGAGATCATTCAAGTCAAGTTCTATTGTTTCATAATTTTAAATTTTTTTGTTATATATTTTTAACTATACTATATATTGTGTTTGTTTGGTTGTTATATAGTTATAATATATTAATAATATGACACCTAGAAGACAACTAAGTGGATACTTAAATTAAAAAAGAAAAAGAAAAATAGATCAACTAATAGAATTTCAAAAAGGATTGCTTGATAAATTTGTCACTACTAACAAAAAATAATGTAACAAAAAATTTAGATGAAAATTTTGAAAATGAACAAGTAAATAATGAAATAGAAGAGAATAAAATAAAAAATATTGAAATAGAAAATATTGAAATAAAAAATAAAGAAATAGAAGATAATGAAATAAAAAATATTGAAGTATAAAATATTGAAATAAAAGATAATAAAATAGAGTATAATGAAATAGAAAAAATATTGAAAAAAAAATAGTGAAATAAAAGATAATGAAATAGAAGACTATCAAAATCTTAATGAAACAAGTGATTATAGTCATATAAATATTTATGATCTAAGTCAATGAAAAAATATTGATACGAAATTAAGAGATTTATTAGTAGAAAATGGTCCAATTAGATATAATAATTTAGATTTTCCTCAGGATGAACACTTTAGACATTTTTCCACTAAACATTATATTCGCAAATTAACAAATGGGAAAACACTTGATAGAAGATGACTGGTATATTCAAAATATTTGGATAAAATATTTTGTTTTTGTTGCAAGTTATTCAATATGAATTATTCTACAAGTAAATTAGCTAATGAAGGAACAAAAGATTGGAAAAATATTAGTGTTAAGCTTAAAAATCATGAAATAACTAATGAGCATATACCTAATATGAATACTTGGATTGAATTAGAAATAATATTGCAACTAAATAAAACAATTGATAAAAATATCCAAGAATAAATTAATAGAGAGAAAGAATATTGGCAAAATATATTAGTAAGAATTATTGCCATTGTAAAGAATCTTGGTAAAAATAATTTAGTTTTTCGAGGAAAAAAATAAAAAAATATATCAAGAAAATAATGGCAATTTTTTAAGTTTAATTGAAATGATTGCGGAATTTGATCCGATAATGCAAGAACACGTTCGTCGTATTCAACAAGATATAATTCATAAATATTATCTTGGACATAACATACAAAATGAATTGATAAGTTTGTTAGTAAATGAAGTAAGAAGCAATATTATTAAAAAATTTAAAGTAGTAAAATATTATTCAATCATACTTGATTGTACTCCCGATACAAGTCATCAAGAATAAATGTCTCTTATATTACGATGCATAGATATTACAATAAGTCCAATAAAAATAGAAGAATATTTTTTAGAGTTTATTAAAGTAGATGATACAAGTGAAAAATGTTTATTTGATAAACTTATAGATGTAATAAGTAATCTTGAACTAGATATTAATGATGTACAAGGACAAGGATATTATAATGAGTCTAATATGAAAGGAAAACATCAAGGTGTACAAAAAATGCTACTCAATATAAATCCTAGAGCATTTTACACACCATGTGATTGTCATAATTTAAGTCTAATATTTTGTGATATGACTAACTCTTGCCCCAAGGCTATATCATTTTTTGGAATAGTACAACGTATATATGGATTATTTTCCTCTTCCACAAAACGATGAAAAATTTTACAAGATAATATTCAAGATTTAACTCTTAAGCCATTATCACAAACACGTTGGGAAAGTCGTGTTGAAAGTGTTAAAGTAATAAGATTTCAAGCTCCAAGAATAAGAAATGCATTATTGTAATTAGCGGAAACTAGTGAAGATCCTAAAACAAGGAGTGAAGTTAATTGTTTAGCAACATATGAAATTGAAAATTTTGAATTTTTATTGGGCATGACTATTTGGTATGATATTTTATTTTTCGTTAACTTAGTTAGTAAATATTTACAATCAAAACACATGCATATTGATATTACTATAAATCAATTAAAAGGTTTCATTTCTTTTTTCGAAAAATATAGGAAAAATGAATTTACAAATGCTATGATTTCATCTAAAGAGATTGTATGTGAAATGAGTATATAACCTATATTTCGTGAAAAACGTAGAGTTTTTAGAAAAAAACAACTTGATGAAAATGTTGATGATGAGTTAACACAATCTATTGAAGAATATTTTAGAATTGATTATTTTACATCCATAATTGATCAAGCTATTTCTTTATTAAAAAATAGATTTGAACAATTACAAAAGTCAGAAAATATTTTTGGTTTTTTATTTAACTTAGAAAAATTAAAATCATTGACTAATGATAGTTTAAAATAATATTGTTTGGATCTTAAATATTTCTGAAAACATGAAATTTTTTTCGATATTGATGGCTTAAATTTATTTTTAGAACTAAATGTTTTAAAAGAAATTTTACAAACGAAAGAAAATACTCCAATTGAGATACTAAATTTTATAAAAAAGTTAGATTCTTTTCAAAATGCATGCATTGTTTATAGAATATTATTAATAATTCCTGTAACAGTTGCTTCTGCGGAAAGAAACTTTTCAAAATTAAAATTGATAAAATCTTACTTAAGATCGACTATGTCACAAGAAAAATTAATTGGATTAGTGATACTATTAATTGAAAAAGATATGGTAGCAAAACTTGAATATAAAACCTTAATTAATACTTTTGTAACTCAAAAAGCAAGAAAAATTAATTTTAAGTAAAAAATATTAACACTAAACATAGAAGGCCTCATTTTAGAAGTATCGCTTTAGGCCCCAAATTTTCTTGAGCTACCTCTGTTTTCACCTTAACATCGACTACAAAGCAACTAAACATGTTACCCTAGCTTATTAACTTGGAGGTGTTTTGGGAAGGAGACCACTTGACAATATACAGGACAAGTCTTGGAAGGATGACAATTTTGCAAATCCTTTTTTACAGAGTGAGATTCTCATTAATATAGTTTTTCCTCCACTTCATTTTATCATTTGTCATGAATTCAAGTGACACACATAATATATAAGTGAGTCTTTCACTAATACCTGTTGAATAATCAAGCAAAGAAAAAAATATTTACAAATGATCTGGATTTCATTTATGTCATCGTGTTGTCATTCCAATTAGTAAGTCTATGGTTCAATTATGAGAATGTCCCTAGGCCGTTGGCGCCTTTCAATAATTGTCATCATGATGCAACAGTAACAAGAGGACACGAAGAGATTATCATCTCTAAGTGTATAGAACAAGAACACTCTAATCTACATAAAAGAATAAGAGAATAACTTAGAAAAAGATATATTATTGGGCAATATATAAGAATAACCAAAACCTTAATGTCCCCATAATGGAAGCAAAATCTCTAATAATACAAAATTTATCAAAAATATAAAAAATTACAATCTAACTAATTAACATAAAAGCACGTGTCGTTTGAAGTCTAACAACAATGATGATAATGAATTCGGACTCTTTCGTGATTTATTATTAATTTTTGAATTTTTTTTTAAGCAAATTGATGTAGATCGTATTAGTGAAGAATTAGGGATGAGAAGAGAAGAAGAAGGGGATGAAAATAGGGAGATAATTTTAGGACGAAGCAATATAAAGATTCAATATCAATAATCAATAATTAAAGTCTAATCTCTCAACAAATATGTGTCCCTTATATATATAAGGAGTTCACAAATCCTATATATATATAAAGAGATCACAAACCCTAAAATAAATAAATAATCAAAATGACAACTAAACCCTTAAAAGTTAAAAGAAAATACTTAAAAGATAAATACTAAATTACTCTCATGATTAATCTAAAATATCTATTCAATTCCTATACAATTCCTATCATTCTCCTCCGGTTGAGAAAAACTCTCTTTCGGAGAGTCTTCAAAATAAAAATACCCTACAAGAGCAAAATGAAGATGACAAAACACTTCATCTAGAATGAAAAAATCATTAACTTCTTTCCCTCGACCAGGATAAAGGCAAAAATCTCCCTCTACATGAACACCTGCTAATAAAATATGAGGCAGTGGAGTACCTCGATTAAGTAGCATGTCCTCCAAATAAAAATCTAGACTAATACTAACATTCAATGAAAAATTAAGCAAATAAACATTAGATCCAAACTCAAGAATAAGAAAATAATTCCCATCAGATTTGAACAACAAGCATTCAGTGGGACAAGACTTTAATGATAAAGGAGGAACAATAACACCTTGGTGCTGAAAATAATTAAATACAAACTCAAGTGAACACTTGGCGGTAGACAGAGGAACAAAGTCAACAATCTTAGATTGGGAAGAATCCGCAACAAAGTCACGATGACTTGGACAAGTAGACACTGAATAGTCACTAGTAGATTCTATAATAAATGACTTGATTGACTTAATATCTTGCATATGTATAGATTTAACAGATTTTTTTCACAATTTTCAAG